AAATTTCTATACAACGAAAGGAGACTGCGTCCACACAAAAGGCCACAACATCTTGGTCTTCATATCTTCGATAAAATGATAAAATTATATTTCTCATACAGTAGCGTCTATATGAGGGAGACCTACTGACCCATACATAAGAAGTTAACCGAACGTAAAATTACCTGTAAACGGCTGTGTGTCCAAAGATCTGAGTAGGGTATCGTTCTTACAAGCATAGTAAAACTAAATATTTTTAGGGGGATTTTCATTTCGTATGAAATTGCGTGAAGAAGAGATTTGTAGGTCCATCTCACCAGAAGAGGACGAATTAATCCCGTTGTACTGCAGCCGTTTGGCTTTTATACGACGTTCAGGTTGGAGCAGTCCACGAGACCTCCTCCCTCGTTTAGGGTGAAAACGGGCTGAGCTTTCGTGCATCATATAATGGATATCATCAGAGCTGGGTCCTCACGTCATACTGTTCTCTACTGTTTGCATAGAGGGTGTCTCTTTAAGATTAATTGTAAATAACAAAGGAAGCGTGCTACATAAAATCTCACGTTGGAACGGCTGACAAATATATTCCTGGAAAATAATTATCCTTTGGTCCTTGATCTTACATATTGGACGAGTGTGAGTGAAGTTAGAACCATCACCGAGCCTTCTTTTGAATGGCGGCTCAACACCCTCTTTCTCTTTCAATCTATCAAGCAAGCATACGTAGTTCCTACTCAACTTTCTTCCAGCGTTCCTCAATTTCAACGTATTTCCTAAGCTGTTAATTTCTTATCTTATATTTCTTCTAACTGCAGATGTGTAATAATCAGCAATCCTACTAGTTTAAGACCATTCTATTGCATGTGCAGTCTCTGCCACGTGTTCGGCCACCTCTGATCGTTGGACCCAGCTTCCTTTACAAGCATTTTGTGTTCTTCCAATCTTTGTCGAATAGGAATGGATTTTCAGACGGAGACCATATAGTCAAAGAGAGACAAGCTGTGACCTTTTCCCGTGTCCTAATTTTACTATCAGGCCTTTATTCAAAAAAAGATAGGCGAATTAGTAAGGAAGTGAGGGATAAAAATAATGTAATAATAATAATAATAATAATAATAATAATAATAATAATAATAATAATAATAATAATAATAATAATAATTCCTAACACTTTTTTCTGTTATGCCATTTTCTTAAAGAGAAATATGACTCATTATCGATATCCGGCTGCTACAAGATTGTTTGCTCATGCGGTTGATGTTATGTTGGTGAGATATGCCGACCTATTCGACAAAGATTGGAAGAACACAAAATGCTTGTAAAGAAAGCTGGGTCCAACGATCAGAGGTGACCGAACACGTGGCAGAGACTGCACATGAAATAGAATGGTCTTAAACTAGTAGGATTGCTGATTATTACACATCTGCAGTTAGAAGAAATATAAGATAAGAAATTAACAGCTTAGGAAATACGTTGAAATTGAGGAACGCTGGTAGAAAGTTGAGCAGGAACTAAGTATGCTTGCATGATAGATTGAAAGAGAGAGAGGGTGTTGAGCCTCCATTCAAAAGAAGGCTCGGTGATGGTTCTAACTTCACTCACACTCGTCCAATATGTAAGATCAAGCTCATCAACCAAACCAGGCGTAAGAGATTACACAGCTTCAGTCATGCCCTTCATTGTGGGGTTAGATGTTAATGACCCTAGACTGAGAGGTTAGGACAAATTGTTTCATAACTTTACTTACATGCTTACAAGCTCATATCTCATGATGTCAACAATACTTGCTTACGGACTTACGCAGTCTCGGTCAGTGCTTTCTCTTGGGTCATTAGGCCTTGATG